GTAAAACAAGAAGGTTTCAGTTCATCTGGTCAAGGAGAATAAATATGGGGGTTTGCTGTCACCTGGGGTTGGAAACGGGAGCACACTGTTGGCAAGCTGTCTTCTACACCGCCACCCAAAATCCCAGTGGATTTTCCTCCATCACGCTATGGTCATTCCTGGCTCAATTATTATACTTACCCCAAGTTCCGAGTGGACTTACAGCTGTACGCCAAACGCAACTTGCTCACGCGCCAAATCCCAGTGGTCTCTATGTATGCGATGAGTTCGAAAACCCATCTCCCACCTGCGAAGAGTTGAGCGCGCGGTTCCCATCTCCTTCCACCACCCCTACTCGCAACCCTCATCAGACTGATCCTACGCACATCATCACATAGCCTACCCTGTCGCGTGCGCACAACTACGGTCCTAAGTAAGCCCTCACCTGACGTCTCACATTCATCATCCACATCCACGGGCCACCGTTCCCGAGAGAACACACCTGAGTGCGCCAGGACTACATCCCCTTTCCAGAAAGTCCTTTGCGGTTTCTGCCACTTATTTCGTTCTTGAAGCAGAGGAATGTACTCCTTCACCAATCGCTTCCCAAATACTTGAGTCAGGTAGCTCACCTGCGGTCAACCACTCGTATACCTGTTATATCTGTTATACTGTTATATCTGCTATATGTTACATCTGTTATATATATCTGTTATATCTGTTATATATATATATGTAGGTTATATCTGTTATATATATATATATCTGTTATATCTGTTATATATATATATGTAGGTTATATCTGTTATATATATATATATCTGTTATATCTGTTATATATATATATGTAGGTTATATCTGTTATATATATATATATCTGTTATATCTGTTATATATATATATGTAGGTTATATCTGTTATATATATATATATCTGTTATATCTGTTATATATATATATGTAGGTTATATCTGTTATATATATATATATCTGTTATATCTGTTATATATATATATGTAGGTTATATCTGTTATATATATATATATCTGTTATATCTGTTATATATATATATGTAGGTTATATCTGTTATATATATATATATCTGTTATATCTGTTATATATATATATGTAGG